TTAAGTTTCTAGCCCAAGAAACGAGACTGTGTATTTTCTCTCTCGAAGGTTTGATAGTGTCCGGAATTCTATCTCCTCAATTTTTCTCGTACAACTGCGAGATCATGGTTGAGCGAAAATTGCATCTACAGAGGTCTCCATTAATTTCAACTTGTTTAAGGTCGCCCGGCAAACCTTTTCAATTAAAACAACTCGATTTTGTCGAAAGAGATAAAATTCAGATGCAATGTTCACATTTACCAATCAGCACCTGTGTTTTTATCCATGACTCCAAAGGCACAAATGCGCTATATATTACGGTATGGTGTATTTCCCCGTCTTTGTCTTACACCATAAAGGTCGGCACACATACGTACACAACGTGACATGTCACGGGAACTTAAAGGCGGAACAAGCCCCTTCGTGTGTACGCATGGGACGCATGCTATTACAGGGACAGTATGAAATCGGATATTGGGGGACAGTTTGCAAAAGCAGTGCAAACGACAAATGCGACATGAAAATTGCCGAGGCTACATTTTGTCCCTGCTTCATGATCGACGCACGAATTCGAACTAGCTGAACTTCATGCAACATGTTGCGGGGATAACATTTTGTCCCCGCAGCCGAACTTTTTCACAAAAACGGGCTTGCCACATCAGGAAAACTGTCGTTGCAACAAATACTAACAACATGTCTTCTAACGTGTGCCGACGTTAATGTTCTGTCGCTTACTTCACTTCAACGGCAAAGGCAACGAAATATGACATATATATCGTAAGAAGCGTTCTGTAATTGAGTTCAAATCATTTTGAAGGACTTACGTGATCACGAAATTTTCAGAAAGCGTCCAAATTTTGTCGTATGGGATACTTTCCTTGTGGTAATATCACAGTTGTTTGATACGCGCGACTTTTTTTAACTTTACGACAGAAATCACGTCCTACAACACCGCACGACGACTTGCAATACCTAATTTGGCGTCATTTCTGTCAAATTAAAATGCGGAAACAAATCAGGATCTTCTCTCAAATACTCACAAACACGTACAAAAAGCAATAACAAGTAAAAGATAATTTCTATTTCCTTACATTGACATATTGGAATCGATTGGTTTAAAAAATGTAATAAAATATTTTCAACTTGTTTAGATATAATTACTCCAAAAATCAAGCGTCGCCTGACATACATTATTTATTTTTCGATTTAATAAAACCTTGCTTTATTTATTAAGCAATATATTTTTAGCGGCCAAGAATCGAATTTGTTGCCTTGCTACTTCATTAAAGAATATCAAGTAAAATGTTTGGCCAAATGAACTTCCTCACTTCATTTGCATTTACCCAAGCCATTTTTCCCGAGGCAAAAACTACCTTTGACAATTAAACATTTAAATTTTGGAAGGTTTCTAATTTTCTGCCGCAGCTTCAACGGATATCTTCTCTTCCTTCGCTTCCTTCGCGCTTTTATATCACCGATTTAAAAGTAATTTTGCTTTCTTGCAACAGAAAGTAGTCTTTCCATGGTAATAAGGCCATGACAGGTGTTTCCAATACCATCTGCGGCAAGTAACGCAAATTTACACAAATTAAACTTGCACTTTGTTTTATTTTTCCTTTCCCAATTTATTTTTAGAAAAATGTTTGGCTGGGTCTTAACGAAAAGATTAAAAACTTCCTTTTGCGATTGAATTCAACATCAAAATCTCATTTCTTCAAAGAAATTCCGACTTCGTCCAAAGAAATAAAACTATGAAACAAGGTGAATCCTTTTGTTCGCTTTTAATAGACGTCTGTCAGCGGAAAGCGACTGAATAAGGTAATTTCAATTTCTTTGAACCTCATGCCAAAACGTTTCCTGCCATTCTTTCTAATTGTCTGAATCGAGAAAGGCGACGTCGGAAATTCATGAAGGCGATGATATTGTCGTTTCAGAGCGGACAGTTTCATTTAAAAGCATCTACAGTTTGCCAAGTCGTTATTTGCCAAACTTGTTTTCATATTCAACTTTGGAATACAAACTAGTAGCCACAAGCTATCGTTCTTGACACTTAGGAATAAATGGTTCAATTTTAAATAAGGCAAGAAATAGCTTAGCTAGATGAAAATCATCATTTACAGATAGTTTTTGGTCGATAGTTTTCGCGCCATAAAATTTTCACAAATTTATAGTCTTATTTTGACTTACTAGCACTTTCAACACAAATTAATTTCGCTACTGGGGCCGAACGAATGCTTCGCATCTTCGCATTTCCGTCCACGCCAACTTCCTCGTCAGAAAAAGCCAAGTTTTCCACCGGACTCCCAAGATCAGGGTCGCCGCACAGCAGTGATTCAAATGCGACGTATGATTCTTTATCCTTCTGAGGGCTTTTCTTCAACTTGGACGTTTTCCACGTCGAAGCCTGTCTTTCCCGCTTGGCCCCTTTCTCTAAATCCAAATTCAGGCTTAATTCTTCTAGGGTATTGTTATTGTTTTCGCTCGCTGCCTCGCATTGCCGCCTGATTTCCCTTCGCATACTCCTTCCAAACAAATCCTTCTCGTAGTAACAACCACGCGGCGTTCCTGGCGTCGGCGCGAGTTCCGTGGCCGTGGAAGAAATTTTCTTCACCGCCAAATCGATCGCATGCATCCAGCGATGTCTTTGAAGGTTCGTGTGGCATTTAAGAAGCCACGTTCCTTCTTCGGTGACCAACTTGAAGCGGTGACTGTATGTCCTGCGCCTCACAACAGAACAACGAGCGTTCGCTGTGATTTCGATTTTGTCGCAATACTCGTGCCACAACTCCGTCTGCTCATCGTAGAAGTACAAAACACCGTTCCTCAAGACTACCCAGTACTCAACCCATTTGTCTTTCTCGTCTTCTTTCTTGAGGATATCTTCGTGTAAAGTTTTGTTCATTTGCTTCGCTCGCGCCGAAGTCGTCGCCGGTTTCAAGTATCTTCACGTTGTAGTAATGCTTTGTTCACGATTTGATCGGCTCGATTGTTTCAATGGACGTTTCGCCCATTGAGTAAACCTTAATACCTGTCTGATATATTATTTATCGCGGTTCATGGAAAGTGCATATTTATTAATTTGTTCACAGATACACCTGACACCGGGTGCTTTAGCGCATGCGTAAGAACGTTTCCTCGTGTTGATATGCAACGAAACCACGGTGAATATAGTTATGTGGGGAGTGTTTTTCCTCTTCAATGTCTTACAAGCTGCGCCTACTCATAAAATATTGAGTAAAAAAGAAGAGGCAAGAATCAACTCCTTCAAGCAGGCATATATCATTTTACTTGACATTTATTTCAAATCGCAAAAAAATTTTCCGTTCCTGCAAGCGGGCATGTATCATTCGACTT